AAATCATTTGTCTTCAGTTTGACGTCGTATTTCGTTTTAATAAAGTAAAAATGATCTATTGTCTACCAATTTTTTTTGAACTGTACAAGGATAAACTCTAGTTTAGGACTATACAGTAATCATATGGCATAACATATGGACTATTGTTTCATTAAATTCATAATAATGACAAATGAAAATATACTGTTAATGCGTGCAATACTGATAAGACATTTCTAGGTATCCACTATACCTATAGTACGATATACTATATTATCTTTCAAGTCTTTACGTGCATGGGTKTACATATTGGGGTTCGTTTTGACAATAGATCGATGTCTCGTTGGGTCAGTSGTCAGTCGTCCATTGTCGAAAGWTCGTAATTTTTACGGTTTAATAAACTCTTCTTCRCAAATGAAAGATGCTTTTGAAAATTRGACGGCTTGTCTGAGTGTATCAGTGTACTTATCGTACTATTTGATAAAAATAACTGTTAATTAATGAATTTGATAAATGCAAGTATAGTCCTCATGACCGGAGGAAATCGCTATCACCCCCACCCCCATGGGATTTATACAATTGCCCGGTTGTTCAYCATTGGGAATGTGTGCATATAAAGGTTTAGCCAGAAAAAAAGGGGGGTTATACCTATGACTTGCCTATGCACTTTTACGTCATCAATAAAGAGTTTTAGCATTTTTGAGGCCATAGGCTGCGCAACCACTGATCGACAGAAGAAAAGAACGAGCCGAGGCGCTTTTATCTACGGACGCGCGCTTTAACGGAATACAAACAAGTCTATTGATTAATTATGACATGGAGATCTGTTCTGTTGCAAATGTGTTTTATTGAATCTGAAACTATTTTGACAGTAGTGCTTTCGTGCAAGATTATAATTAAAAAGGAGAGGATTTTAAGACTTTGGCGTAAAATGGTTTTATTTCTTTGTCCATATAGGCGTCCGCTTAAGTCCGATTTAGATGACACAACTTTTGCTTACAACCATCGCATGTAACCTGCGTAAGTCGTCCTTACAACATGGCTACAACTGTCGTAGGGATTTTAAACAATTGCTTAATAGCCTCACGACAGTTGTAGCCATGTCGTAAGGATGACTTACGCAGGTCGCATGCGATAGTTGTAGGTAAAAGTTGTGTCGTCTAAATCGGCCTTTAGAGTTCAAACCAGCCGACTTTCATGGCTGCGACCTAACCGCAGTAACGATAACATCGTCTGATCATCCTGCACCTAATAACATAGTAACACCGGCCACGGTAGCAGCGTCTAATACGAGGACATGACCGAATGTGTCTGCATATGATACGGCAATGACCGCACACCCTCCTGCGCCATATAACCACTCTTGTGCAGCACCTGTGCGTGTTGCGGATGATTCTGCATCGACCCCAGCCATAGCGAACAACGTAACGGCAGTTACGCTTTGCAACGTCTGAAAGAAAGGTGCATTTTTAATTGTTCGTCTTTTCCAATGATAGAATCTTCTATTAAAATCACCAGTAACACTTCGAAATAATGTACATTTTGAAGAATTTTCCTTAATTCTTAGCTTTATTTACAACAGCCCGTGCAAATGCAAAAGATCTGTGACTATAGAAGACAATGGAAATAGTTTGAAATCTCACGAGTTTTACCTACATTTCTGAATATTTTAGCACACAATTGAGGCTAACACAGCGTAAAAGAGATCGCGAAACTCAACTATTGTTCGTCTAGTTTCCAATGATAGAATCTTCTATTAAAATCACCAGTATATAACACTTTCCTTAATTTTTAGCTTTTTATGGTGAGATTGTGAAAAATCCAAGTAGGCGCAACCAAAGATGGGGAACATAGCATGCGTAGCCAGGCGTTCCTAGCAGCTCCGAGAGAACCGGCCCAACTCTTCCCGGAGCTGCACAATAATCACATRACTGGTCACGTGACAATCAGATTAATCGCAAAGGTCGATCGATTTCAGCTTTAGCTTTGAAGTGTTACAGCCTTTGAACACGACTATGGATTTTCATTTACACGGCTAATAATCACTCTTTTTTCTCATGATCCTTTTAGTTCAACTATTTATATTTGCAGAAATAGTCTAAGAGCCTGCGTATAGGTCTGTCATATAACTCTCTAGTTGAATGACCAGTGAGGGTCGAGGTTTCACCAACCACAGAAAAAATCTATAGACCTGTGATTTCATGATTTGAATATGGCAAAGTGACTTTTCACTTCAAATTTTCTTTCTGTAGCCGTTAGCCTTACCATTGTTAGCGGTATCTTCGTCGTTTTGAACGTCTTCGCTTTCCTCGGCTGAAAACAGAAAAGAAATACAATATAATACGCTTTGAAGAATTCAATTACGAAAGCAAGATAAAAAATAGACTTTGAGAACAATAAGCTGACAATGAAGAGCAYAGACAAGAAAAATTTAAAACATGAAAAGAAGAAGAAGAGCCCCCCCAAAAAAACTGAAATAAAAAAGCAAAAGAGCTGCAGAAGCATAATACTCCAATTGCGAGTTCTGGTTTACTCTGTGTTAGCCTCAAAACAAGTAACATATTCTTTTGTTTCATTGATGGSCTGAGAAAACTCATGGAATTTGACAAGAAAGACAATAGAATTGATTTGAAATCTCACACTTTTATTCTCACAATTAGGAAGTATTTTGAGCACAAATGAGGCTAACACAGAGCATTGGAGAATTCGAAACTGGAGTATTGAGAAGAAGAGAATGCATAAGAAACATATAAACGATAAGCGAGGGAACTATTCAAAACATCACTTACCTTCCGCGTCGTCATTTTGATCTTGAAATCCGTCTTCTAACGGCCTGTTGTCCTCTGCTGCTTAAAAAGCAATAAAAGCTAATGACTTGACAATCCTAAATTCCTTACTACCATGATGTGAATGCAAGCAAGTTGGTTTGCACTAAAGTCGAAAAAGTTTTGACGCCATCTACAACCATCTACCCTTAAATTTGATCTCTAAACACAAAAAAGCAGGCAACTAGTTGATGGACTGTATAATTCTAATTAAAAAAAGTAGAAACGTTTTCAGATCGCAATAACCTGTGCATGTCACAAAGATAATATCGAGGAGAGGGATGTTAAAATGGGTACTCCCAAATTCCGGCACATATTTCAGGCCTAAAACGTTATGTCTTTACTCGTAAAGAAGCTTATAGTTTATTCAGCGCAATGGCATTGTGTTATTGAAACACATCACTGGAAAAAATCGCGCGCTTTAAAATTTGATGTAAATATGATGTATGAAGTGTCCAAAATTCTGTAAATTTAATGGAAATCATTTACATCAAATTTACAGAATTTTGGACACTTACATCATATTTACATTAAATTTACAACCTTTAAAGCGCGCGATTTTTTCCAGTGGTTGTGAGCAAAAGAGAGTTTAATGAAAGGAGTCTGATCAGCAGCTGTGAAAAACTTCACTCAACACTCGTTTTTGGCAAAAAATGGAAACAAAAAAACGAACAACCAAAAAATTACCTAACAAGTTTGCTGACTCAGTCTCGTCTTGTCCAGGTCYTCCRTCATCTTTTTCAATGTCGTTGTTGCTGTCCACKGGTACACCAGCAGCGAAAGCGATCAATRCRRCMAACAGCAGCAAAATTGTGATCTTCATCATGTCGTACGAATGTAAGATACAACAACATGAGGCTCAGACTGTAGCAGCCTGCTTATATACCATACCCTGATGAYCATTCGTGCAAAAAATATTATACTTTTAACATTTACTCGTTGTTCCAGGGTTTAAAGTTTTACAAACAATCCTTGCTTGGGGTGATGTAATTTAAGTAATTATCAATTTAATGAACCCTGACCAGTAAATCCAAAGTAATTTGCAGCACATTTAAAAATGACCAGCTTTCGCTTTTTCCAGCTAATAATAAAACATTTTTGCTATGAATGTTTTAAAGTTGTTTTGAGTACTCCGTGTTGTACGTATTTACGGATATTTTTTWAAGATGACCTAAGTTCAGTTTCCGTGCATATAGAATCTAATCGGTTCGCCGTCACGCATCGCGACTTAAATGCGTTTTCTTAAATTAAAAGTTAATTTGGATATAATGAATAATCGATGAGGGCAAAGTWAAACTTGATAGAAAAATTGCGCAGACTACAAAATTTGATTTAATAATATGTCAGTGCTATTCATTTATTGCTAATTATTATCGAGAGTAAGAAGACTAAGAACCCTTTTATTTTATGTGCTCAAAGAGGGGGGAACAACGAACGTCTARAACTAACTAAAACTTTAACTGCAAACTGAAAAACGGTGTCAGATTCAACGCTCCTCCTGAYAAATATTACGCAGTCCCTTAGTGCTAATTTCAGGCRGTTATTTTACTGGTTGACATGGTTTTTCATAACTGCCTAGGTTTGCCTAACAACTTTATTAAATAAATAAACAATCACACAGTGCATTCTTAAGYCACACCTCGTGAAGATTTATACGAAGCYTTTTTAAAGGCTTTAAAACTTTTAAGCAYCTTTCTGACGCAGGTTTGTCMAAAGAATTTGTCTTTTCATATGGCTTGTATTGCGTGTGGAAGACTTGGCCGGCCTGGCAGTAATTAACACACTAGTGATTATAGAAATACCTACCAAAAAGTGCTTTTTAATTGTGTAATTAACTGCAAATGGATTTACAAACAAATATCAGCAAAAAAGAGAGGATTCCTAACGTTTTCGTTTTGATGACAAAAACCTCGGCACTTGCATATATATCGTTATGAAGCAAAGCAGTTGCGTGAATTAAAACTAATAATTTATTTATCAGTAATATTTCCTTCGTGCAATAATCAAAACTTGARGTTGTGCATTAATCCTCTTTTTGCTTGATTACAGATAGGCCAATATTAATATGCATGAGTAGGGTGTCCGTAATGGCGAGAGTTGACTGTATAGGCCAATATTAACATGCATGATAGGGTGTARGTGTTGAATGAATCCAATTCTAGTTAATGGCTAAAACCTGGCTACTTTCAGTGTGAGGTACTCGTGCTATCATTTACTAACACAACTTATATCAGGATTTCGTTGAGGGTTCTTAGTCTTCTTATTCTCGATAATAATTAGCAATAAATGAATTAATAAAACTGACATATTATTAAATCAAATTTCAAAGTCTGCGCAATTTTCCTATAAAAGATCTTCAATAATTGTCAAGTTTTACTTTGCCCTCATCGATTAATACTTGTTTAATTGATTGTTAAATTATGATCGTCGTCCAACAAACTGGACCCACCATTAAGCATTAAATCGTCCATAATATATCCAAATGAACTTTTAATTTAAGAAAACAGCATTTAAGTCGATGCGTGACGGCGAACCGATTAGATTCTATATGCACGGAAACTGAACTTGGGCCATCTTAGAAAATTAYCCGTAAATACGTACAACACGGAGTACTCAAAACAACTTTAAAACATTCATAGCAAAAATGTAATATCATTAGCTGGAAAAAGCGAAAGCTGGTCATTTTTAAATGTGCTGCAAATTACTTTTATTTACTGGTCAGGGTTCATTAACTTGATAATTACTTAAATTACATCACCCCAACCAAGGATTGTTTGTAAAACTTTAAACCCTAGAACAACGAGTAAATGTTGAAAGTAATAGCATGGCTCTGAGGTATATTAGGGAAAAAGCGCACGTCGTTTTCCTTCTTTTTAAGAATTTTCATCCMAATCTTTTAGACGCCATTTCTTTCAATTTTCATATTTTATTCATCATTTCATAGGACTGCATATTACTACATTATTAATTTTCCGGTTTTACCTTCTTACCTTTTTATCGATCAACATTTTATTGGCAAATATTAAACATCCAGGTTGAGGTCARTGAATTAGTATAGTATTAGTATATATATTTTCTTATAGCTATTATTTGTTTATAAAATGGTTGAATAAAATTTTGCAATAGACTTCTGACCTTTTAGACCTTTTACGTCACTACTTGATTTTCAATGCATTGTGGGATCAGTTTCTAGAGAAAACAAAAGAAATCCGCCATGTTCTGTCCCAAACATATCCTACAAGGCATTGCGAATACGGTACATGACGTAAAAGCTGCAGAGGTCTATTTGAAATACCACTATTAAGGATAAATACCACTCCTCTAAGCCAATCAAATTGCACAATCTTATATTCAATCATATTATAATAGTATTAAAATCACACCTGACAACACATCGAAGACATTTGAAAGAATGCATTTCCCATCATCTCAAAATCGCCGGCGATATTGCCTTTTATATAGCTGAAATGATTCCATTTTGGACTCAAAATTACATAGAAGCGAAAAAATGCGTCGATGTTACGATAAAATGATAAATTGTACATGTAATGAGTAAGCTAACTGAGGCAGAATACTTTGGAGTATTTTTTTCCAGTATCATTTTTGGTCTCAGCACGTACCTGGTATATCCTGGCCATGGTACATAACATACAAACAAACTAATTGTATGCATAAGTAGTGAAGTTCTCCTTCAGTAGCATCGTGTTGTGCAGAATAAATGTGAAAATGTGAAGTTTAGGCCATACGCTACTGTTTAGAAAACTTTTATTTTCTCAAATTTCCGTCGGTCGCCGACATCATCAGGAAAATAAAGGAATTTACATRTACGCGAATATAATGGTAATGCAATATAATATAATATAAGGGTTTACATACTTTGGTCAYACTCTTTTTACCTTTATTGCTTTATTGTTCACTAATAAATGCAAGATTGACATAGATGRCATAGATCGCTAGCTCTATTAACTGTGCAGTTGACAATGAACACTATCACACTGAAACAATTGATATTTGATTATATTATTATATAAATAGTTCTCAACTTGAAACCAGGCCCACTAGGCCCATATCATGATCAGCGGTTTGCTCACTTTACAAGTTGTATTCGACACTATTGTATAGAGTGTATGCATATATCGTGCAAAAATTGCTAAATGTATAAAAACAAAACA